TTATCATTATGATTTGAAAAGAAGCCGAAAAACTATGTGATAATGAATGGCTTCGTATGATCACTATCCTTAAATAAAAGGCACTATCACTCATATATTAAAAATCAATGCCAAAATTTCACAATTTCTGCCAGCCAGGGTATGCAAACTTTTGAGCACAACTTTCAATTAAACGTAAAAAATCAATTATATATATGAATTGGTATATATATATATATATATATATATAATTGAGGTGAAGAGAGAGAGAGGGCAAACATTTTGCATTTTAGGTCAGCATTGCCATCTATCAGCCAATATTGTCTTAAATAGCATAGCACTTCCATCTTTTATAACATGGGATTTTGACCAAATATATTCAATCTTGATTTTTGTAAAATGTTGCAACAAGATGTTAAAAAATGTTTTTTTTTTTAATGAAAAAATACAGTTTTGGACATATAAGGTAATAAAGATATATTTTTAAAATACCTTAAAGTAACTACATATGAACATGTAAAGCAAATATCTTTAAAAGAAATTCCATGGAGCATGCCCCCCATCCGCACAATGTTCTCACCTTTTTTCCCCCTTACCTGTTTGCATCTCTGCACCTTAAAACAGCTTGTAATTCACATGTAAAACCATTTGGTTACATGTGAAACATTGGGTGCACATTGTTCTAAAACCACATAAAAATCATATAAATATACACATGAGAAATTCATGTTCATTTTCTATAATCGTGGTAAAACAAAAGACTCATACAAACACATTGCGTGAGCTCTACATGAGGCTTATGAGAAAACAGAGAGAAAGAGAAGGACAAAGGAGGATAGAGGTTACAGATCCCAAATGTATTCTCCTTAGTACATGTCATTCCCAATCTAAATCATCTACACACACAAACATAATGATGCTTCCAGAGGGTGCATCCACATACACAGGTGAGCACCGGGCACTCTGTTGTTCTGTGTTGTGGTTCTGTGAACCTCTAATGCTGCATAATAGCGTCGCTCTCAATGTTAAGCACTTGAAATGTGAATGTACTAATGAATGCAGCACATTACGGCATGCGTCAATGGGTTTGCCTTTTAGATTTACATCAGCCACTTAACTCCTCTTATCTGCATTATTGTTCACCAGTATAAATGAGACCTTAATAACATTCTTATTTCTAATTAAAGCGCAATCATATGTGGTCATCATCAAGTAATAAGCATGGCATGTTGAAAGTCACCTGACCTGGCTGAACAGTGGCTACTGGTGGCCGAAAGAGGCATTTTCAGAAGTGCTCTCTTAATCAAGACAAGGTCGAACATACATGACTGCCCTTGCCAATGGCTACTGTTACATATAATTAAAGGCCACTGAAAAACACCACGCTTGGTGCTGTTTTTTTAAAATGTAAGAATACTTGTTTAAAAAAAAAGGTGTAACTTTACAGTATATGCTTAATTCTGTTGCATTGTGTGTATGCAAACTTGCATTTTTAATTTTCAGCACCCACATGCAGTGCTTTTTTAATTCATTTTAATACATTTTTAATTTTAAGGTCAAGTCATGTATGCAAAACATACTAACCTCTGGATAATTCCCAGCATTCAGTTTCTTCCCTGGTGAAGTAAAATGTAGGGAACTGTTAAAGGAACAAAAGAAATGTTCATTTGCACCCAAGGCACATTGACGCAACCCCCATACAGTGGGTTTCCAAAGACTAAAGTCATAATGCTCTAATAAGGTTTCATGTGCTCAAAGTAGACATTGCAAGATACACTGAAATATTAATTAACATGTAAGGGTATGAAGGTTTTATTCCAAAATGTTATTATTATTAAAAATATTTTATATACATTTAAAAGTAAACAATATATATTTTTTTTTATTCCTTTAGTTTTTTTTAACCAGCATAGATTAACATATGGTAATTTATATATAATATTATTATTATATATTTTTTTGGAAATAATTTATTTTAGGTTTTTCGTGTATATATTATTGCACAGCATAGTATATTTAAATAAATAAATTATATATATGATCATATATTTACGTGTGTATGTGTGTATATATATAATTTGTGTGTGTGTTTGTGTGTGTATGTGTATACTGTATATATATATATATATATATAATTTTATTAATTCATTCATTCATTTATTTCCTCCACATTTCATTTTCAGGGTTATGGGACATGTCGACAACCGTGACCCTGAAAATGAAATGTGGAGGAAATAAATGGATTAATTAATTAATTAATTAATAAACAAATGAATGAATGAATGAATAAATAAATATAATATTTATTTATTTATGCATGTATTTATGCATTTAATTAATTATGTATTAAAGATTTATTTATATATTTCAACATTTATTTAATGATTTAATTTTGCATAATTAGGCTCTCCATAGAATACAAACCAGTACTCAAAAAATATTTATATTAGATAGATAGATAGATAGATAGATAGATAGATAGTCTGAATTTCAGTATACACCCCATTCTAATAGAATAATACACTTACAGATGCACTTAATGATACACTTATTCCTTAAGCTAGGGTGTAACAACGTATATCTACATTGAGAAGCCTTTTTAATGATAAATCTGATCCTATTACAAACAACTGCAATTTAACGTAATTTCTTAAATAAATAATATGTCAAAAATATGTAACAGCTCAGCATGACAAACAGTGGCTTACAGCACACTGCACTGCCACTGCATCTCCCCTGCGCATTCCGCCTGAATGGTACAGTCTAACTTGCTTGAACGGATTTCGGATCAGCCCACTATGAGCCAGTTTAATTTATTAGGGGTGGACGCTTTCACTTCGTATCCAAATTTCATGACTGCAGGGACGCATAATGTACAGAATCAACCTAATCAGGGATACATAATAATAAAACATAGATATATTATAAAAACGTATTAACTACACAAGAATTAGCTCAATGACATAATGGCATGTTCCCCAACCCATCCAATGAGTGAGTGACTCCTGGATCTATTCGCAGCTGCTCTATCGCTTCCATGATCCACTCCAGTCCGGATTTGGAAAGGAAAGGAACAGCTGCTGTAACGTTTTAGCAATTTCAGGGGAGAAGGAGCATTGGTGAGACATGCGGGGTCTAGTGGAGTCGCTCCAGCAGCATTGGAGACTGGACAAACAGCAGCAGCAGGAGTAGAGGATCATGGCCGAGGACTATTGGGAGAGCGCGGCTGCTTTGGGATAGTATTACTGCTGTTAAGATTACACGAGCAACACACACTCATTTACACAAGCTCACACGGATCTCAACTCCACGGGTAAGAAAGCCATCCCGGATATTGTCCTGTCCCACTCTGATATTTCATCGCAAAGTGGGAAAAGCATCAAAATGGGACAGAAAAAGTAGATTTAGGCCGTTTTTGCGTGAGTTAATTCGCGCCGGACAGTCTGTGTTTGAAACCCTGCTTGGGTCGCTAGGGCTGTCTGAATGGAAACCGAATGATTGTTTAATGATGTATGCGAATGGACGACAGAAAAAGTAAAATGAAGGAATACAAGTAAAAAGGAATCAATCTCGCATTCATGTACAATGGCCGTTTAATGCTGGTCTTTAAAGCCAGCTAACTAGCTAACCTGGCTAGCTAACCTGTTTATGTGTGGTTTACTGTGGATTAGTCAGCAGTCTGCCTGCAATCAAGGTTTAGTTTTATTATTTGTACTTATTTATGGCTTGCCTGAGTAATTGTCTTATCCTGAGGGAGTCTTGTGTTTTATTCAGTCATGTTTTGCTTTCTAATAATGTCATCTGAATTACCTCAGGGGCTTATACAATATGGGTTTAATGAAGGTGTATGTTCATTTTGAGCAATTTTTTTAAACATATAAATAACATATGCTATTAAAAATAGTATAAAGGGTAATATTTCATCAAATGCTTTTTAGAGATAGGAGACATTGTCAATGACGTATTTTACGTTGTCATTGGCATCTTGTGACGACAGCGTAACGTCACTCATTCAAAACATGATGGGGTGTTATATAAGTCTACGTCATAGTTGTAAATATGTAGTATCGAATTCATGCTATCGTAAGGGTAAAGCTGTACTTAAATCCATTACTGGTAATGATCCTTCCAGCTCACATTGATTTCCCAGCAGGTGAAACCACTTTTGGTGCAAGTTAAACTGATGGAATGGGGAAGGAGGAAGAGTGATCCATTCCGACTCATCAAAACTTGTATGAGATGCAGTAACGAGAAGTCTCCTTAAAGACTCAGTTCTGGTCAGATGGAGGCGTGTGTTTGACAGTTGCTGGTCTGATTCAGAATGTCATGTTGGAGGCGTGGGTACATGTTGAGGGGGTTGGTTTGTGGAATATTATCATTTTGTGACACATGGTTTAGGAGTCTTTAACTTTGCTTTCCTCACCTAAATAGCCTTACACTGTTGTAGCATGCATAATTTCGATGCTTTAGTTAACTGGCGTTCATCAACCTAAATTTAAGTGGTGGTTTCCATTGATCGCTTATTTAAGAGAATTAGGGAAAGCACTTGACCTTTGACTTCAGTGTTGGAAGTAATTGGCTTCGAAGCAGGACTAGAATAATTCCAGAGGAATGTGCATTGCTCGCAGAATTGGTCTGTAGTCATTTTTAAGGGTATTTTTAGTGATGGATTGGGAAAAATTAACTGAAATCTGTGCATGCATAACCAATAAACAAAACAGGTACCATTTTGCCACAAATTCACCAACAGCTTTTCACACTTTGCACTTCTGTGTATTTTATTTCATTAAATTACATTATGTAATCAACGTTATCTTGACCTGCTCTTTTGGTCAGTATTCTCATCAGTCATTGAAAAACCCATACTTATCAAACATTGGCTACATGATCTTGTTTTTGATGTTGTAGACTGTTTTGTTTAAAAATATATCACCAAAATACCTTCATCCCATTTACCTGTTCATAATTTTAAAAATATTTCTGGCACATCCCTTAATTTGCTTTTTAGGTTGTGGATTTCTACATGGCACATTGTTGACAATAAACTATTTCTTTGAGTAAGATAATAAAATACCATAGTTAATCTAACATAAGTTATATTTAGTTAATATAACTATTTAATGACAATAAAATATTATTTTATTTAATGATAGTAAAGATAAAATTAATATACATAAAATGCATAGCAAAAAATGGAAATTAAAACCTGTCATAGAAAAATAATTTGCTAGTTAAATGCTAAAATAAAAATTTAATATATTTTTTGTTTTATTTTAAAAATATTTAGGGAGCAACTGCATTAACCCACTTTTTAATGATAATAAAAACAAAATGAATATACATAATGTATAACAAAAATGGAAATTAAAACAAAATAATAAAACATAACAATAAATATAATTCACTAGAAAAATAATTTGCTAGTTAAAAGCGAAAATAAAAAATATACGTTTTTAGCTTTCTTTTTAAAATATAGCATCTTCCTTAATATTTATTGATTGTGTGTTCCATAGCTTTGAGGCATAATTGACAAAGGCTGCATCCTCGGTTTCCTTTCGTCTGTTGTAATCGTCTTCGTTATTGCTGTATTTGAAAATCTTAGAGCCTATAATCAGAATCAGAATCAGAATCAGAAGAGCTTTATTACCAAGTATGTTTACACACACAAGGACCTCAATGAATAACAGCGTCCAATTAGAAAGCAACCTACATGAGCTGGCTGATTTTTCTAGTTCTGGCATGTGTCACCAGCATAATAATATTGATGAAGTGCTGCGCTGTACGGACACCTTCTTCCGCTTTTCCTCCGCCGCAGAGAAATGACAGCAACGCAAAACCCTTTGCGCTCAGAGGCTGGTTGATGTAGTGCTGTCTGGACCTGGTGTTCCAGAATAAGTCTCTATGAAGGTCACCCCCGTCGGGGTGTCACCTTGTGTTTGGATGCATGTCAGTTTGGTTGGAGAGGGATGTTGGGGGCCTGTGGCCAACATGGACCGGTGCTTTGTTTAACTCTTGCATATGATCAACTGAAAGATGTTTTACTGAAAACAGGGTGTTTTTTGCCGCTTGCCTGGGTAGGTTTGTAAACTCATCGACATGGACGAAGACCAAGCTATCACACACTGTCAGTCGTCCGAACCCCATGAAGCATTTATTGACCTATAGAGTGGATAACTGAGCCTCAGTCTGCGCCGTATCGATGCAGCTCAGTTAAAGAAAAACCTTGGCTCTGAAACTGAGCACTTCCAGTATGTTTGCAGGAGAGTTGAGATGCGGTTAGTCCTGTGTTAGCTAGCAATGGCCCACAGAATGCCGTCCTGCATGCTGTTTTGATGGTCGACTGCTGCGGGCAGTAATGAAAAGAGATAGAAAGAGTCATCAACCCTGATTAAGTAGCACTAAGACGATGCCGAGAGCTGAAATCGGCCCTTAACCCGGTGTAGACCGCTGCTGCTTTCCTCTGGGGCCGCAATCACTCACCAGGTCATGAATGAAGCCAGTGTGGAGTGAAAATGGTGGAGGGTAAACAGGTTAAGCTCATGTGTATATATAACCGGGTCTTGTTTGTCTTTGATTACTAAACTGATTAGGGAATGACTCGATTCATTTTGGCTCCGAGTAGCAGATTTCCCAGCTTTGTCAGCCATTCAGCCACATTGCACACGACTGATTGTTATTCAAAATGCAAAACATGATGAATATTATGCAAAATGTCCTTTAACAGTCAGAGTTCCTCCTCTGAGCTTTTTTGTCACATTGGTTTACTGTAAACAAGAGTGAAGGTTTGTGGATTTCCTGTTGATTGTCTGATTCAGGAGACCTGATTTGAGGCTGCTTGGTTCATCTTGAATTTCTGAGTAAGATAAATAAAAGACGCTTCAAATGCCTTGCCTTGATTGCCATTGGATCTGTCCCCATTTATTCGTTCTTCTTTTCAACATCCGTAATTTTTCGTCATCTTGGGTTTCAACTATTCATAGTATTTTTAGTGTTAACCTTCCAACGGTTTGCCTTGGAGTTCTTTAAAACCCTTGTTTTTGGGTGTCTGTACAATAAAAAAATTGGCAAAGATTTTCCTTTATCATCACTTGTTGTGTGATCCCAAACCTTATGCATTCTGCTTAATGTGCTTTTAAACCCCTCAACATTGGATTTTACATTGATTTATCACCTTGAAATACTGCTTTGATATGTATTTTTGTGTTTTAAATTGCTCTTTGATATATTAAGACTCAGTGCACTACTTTTGAGTGGTTTAGTGTAGATGTTCAGACAACTTCTATAAGCAGTATTTCTAAAGAACATGTGGTCTGTTACTTGTTTAACATGTTAAATCTATCTTAGCATGGACCACGATATCTGTTTGCACAGGAAACAAGTGTTTGAAATCTTGTGCCTGAGTAGAATCCTGTCCCCAGGCAACTTGTTAGTTACTGGGTCACATTAAGTCCAAGGACCCAAAGCTTGGATTTGCGGTCAAGATTGTTGCTCATCTTTGTGCCAAAGCATGTGATTAGTCCAAAAGAAAGGCAAAACCTTCTGGCATTTTGGCTGTTCCTAAAGAGAAGACCCTGTGTTCCCTACAAGCACTGAGGATAACTCGTTTTTTTCTCTTTTAGGCTATGTGTTGAATGGAATAGTACCTTGGTATATATACTACATACTGTTTTTAAAAAAAAATATATATAATATGTGACCCTGGACCACAAAAGCAGTCTTAAGTCGCTGGGGTATATTTGTAGCAATAGCCAAAAATACATTGTATGGGTCAAAATTATTGATTTTTCTTTTATGCCAAAAATCATTAGGATATTAAGTAAATAAAATGTTCCATGAAGATATTTTGTAAATTTCCTACTGTAAATATATCAAAACTATTTTCAAATGTTTTAAAATAATATTAATACTATTAAAATATAATATAAAATAAAATAAAAAGTTAAATAAATAAATATAAATATTTATTTATTTATTTGTAATTAGTATATTTGTATTTTGCCTGTACCTAATAAGCCCCAGTTTCCCCCCCACACACATTTGTATTTATTGTATAATTGCATATATTGTATTTATTATATAATTTATATATATATATATATATATGTACAATTTATTATTTATTGAAATAAATATGTTCTTTAGGAACAGCCAAAATTGCATTATAATATATTAATATGATATAATTACAGAATAAATAAATACATTGTAAATAAAATGTATTCATTCATTCATTCTTTTTTTCCCCTTTTTTTTTTTGGGTCAGGTGACTTAATAAGCTAAGTGGTTAGCCTACATATTACTTTCAGTCTGTTCACCTGGTAGCTTAGCATACCCTGCTAACTAAACATATTGCTAAGCCTAACATATACAGTGCCTAAAGTACCAGTATTTATTTGTGCTATTTATCATTTGTAGCTACCATTACTGCAAAAGCCTAACCGGAAAGGCTCTTTTAATTACACAGTATGAGTGAAGAAGGAGATCTTAATGGTTTATATAGTGTCCAATTCTATTGTCATACTGCAAATGGAAGGTCAGGTCGAGTGCAGTGCATTGTGGTATCTCACTCACTGTGCTCTGCTTGTGTACTGCACGTCTAGTAGGTCATCTGAGTGTTTTGTGCATACTGCAAAAAAGTAAGAGTAATACGCTATTCTCAACAAACCCATAATCTCTCACTGTTTTCTCTGAATTTCACTGAACCGAGATGAATGTTCATGCTCGAGTCTGTTCTGTGATCATTAACATGTGCTTTGTCTCTGCACATACTCTCATTTAATAAATCTGTTGGTGCAATTATTACTCTGTTTGCGCCTCTCTGAGAGCCTCCCAGTTGGATTTGTTGCATTTCCGGCCTAAATACACTCGAATCTGCAGCGTCTGCAATCCTTTCTGCGCTTGATTTATAAATGAAAACAATCACACTTAGAATGATGAGTGTGAAAACACTGTTGCTAGTCATTACTTATGTGTGCAATTACAGTTGGCTGTGTGCTTTGTTTATTGTAGGTGTGATCTCTCACCGTGAACCTCTTCCAGTTACTGTCTCTCACTTTGATGTCCACTCCGTAGAGCGCCATCCGCTCAAATAACGTTCAGTGCTTATGAAATAAACAAATTTGTCCTCTGAATCACCTCTCTGCTCCATGTTTGTCTTAACACATAATTTTAAGCTAATATTATTCCCAGAATATGTTAATGCATTCCATTACAGTCTTAAGAGGACAGCATCCTTGAAAATGCATGACTTTGCTGTGTCCAGTAATCACAGAGGATATCAAATGAATCAGGAAGCAGAGTGTAACGTTCTGCTTGTGGATTTGTGTCTACGACAGGGCGGTTGAACAGTGGCAGCCCCTCCACCCCCCTCATCTCGGCCCCCCATACCCCCACTGATGGACCGCATGAGGAAGATCAAACGGCAGCTGTCCTTGACGCTGCGAGGGGGGAACAGTGGGGGCAAGACCTTGAGCGAGACCATCAGCTCTCAGGACACAGGAGCACACAGTGATTCCGGTACGGTGACAAAATAAAAAAAAACCGTTTTTCTAATAAAATTGCAATTTTAAATGCAATTTAAAAATGACAGGTTTGAAAATGTTTAATAAATACAAATTTATATTAATATAAGATAATAATAATTATTATTAATAATAAAAGTTCCTAAAAATAAATAATAATAATTATTATTATTGCCATTATTATTAAATAAAAATACTAAATAATAACTTTAAACAAATCTATTGTAATATTTCACTGTAAAATAAGGAAATGGTTTAATAATAATTGTATTTTACAACTGTAAAATTACAATACTAAGAACGGTAATGGCTGTCTTAATTTCTTTTTATTTTTTTTTCTAATTTTAAAACATCAAACCTTTATTTTGATGGATAAAACACATGGAGCCCTTAAAGGGATAGTTCAGCCAAAATGAAAATTCTATCATCATTTCATTACTCTCCACCTGTTCCAAACCTGTTTTATTGTCTGTCTTCTGTTAAAAAAAAAGAGAGAGGAAAAAAAAGATATTTTGAAGAATGTTGGTAACCAGACAGTTGACAGTAGCCATTCACTTCCATAGTATTTCTTTCCTAACTATGGAAGTCAGTGGCTACCGTCAACTGTTTGGTTGCCAACGTTCTTCAAAATATCTTTTTTTTTTGTGCTCAACAGAAGAAAGAAACTCGTATGAGTTTGGAACAGCAGAGTGTGTAAATGATGACAGAACTCTTTTTTTGATAAGCGCTTTTCATTACAAGTATGTGAAGGTGGTTGGCGGATATTGCATTCCCAAATGCATGTTAAAGTGACCTAAACTCAACCGAGCTGCTCTGAGATGCTACAAACAGCTGCGTATAATGAGCCACTTGCGTGTAAGAATGCAGTGCCTATATTTATGTAATTAAGTAACATTTGTGATGTGATAATAGCACTGAGTAAGCCATATGGCAGTTTCAGAGTTTTTTTGATTAATCGTGCAGCTCTAGTGCCCATGGTGATTGCTTTATTAGCTTATCAGTAAACCTGGATGGAATCTACATCTGCAGAATTCCACAGAACTCAAATGCTTGTCATGCATAAAATTATTTTCTTGCTTGTTTGTTTAATAAAAAATTAGGATATAATGCTACATTTAATACAATTGATCATGTTTAACTCCATTCCACCATATTCCACAAACACAGTTGATGCAGAAGTTGTACAAATTTGGCCGACTTATCTGTTTAATGATGACTAATCAAAGTTAGTGTGATTTAAGCATAATTAACAAAACATTACAACATAAATGTTTCATCTCTAGGTCGTCCCAGTCATTCCTTCCCGATATTGGGACGTGCATGAAAACTCTGTGGCATGTAATATTTCAGATGCTCATAACCAGTGTGTGTGTGTGTGTGTGTGTGAGAGAGCATTCTTACCGGAGGGGATAAAAACAGCTCAAATTCAGTGCCATCTGTACAATCTGTTCCAGGGTTTTTATATAATGGCAGCCAGTAAGTTGCCAGAATTGTTGCAAATGGCCAGACTTCAAAAAGAGCATTTAGTCTGTCAACAGACCACTTTAAGTGACATAATTCTCAGCATGTTGCGTGTAAAAGATGAAGTTTTACTTAAATTGCTAATTTCCTTTTTATGCTTATTGGTTAATGTGAGATCTGTGGCTTTTACTTCAGCTGCTGTAAATTTGGAACAGAGTAGCTATGAATTTTAATACAGTGAATTTACTTTACAGCAGTGTTTCCTGTCACTGTTCAGTGGAGGTGCTGTATTTGAATCTACGGTGCCATGGCAAAAGAAATACAATTTTACCTGAGTTGTGAGCTTGCCGTCTGAATTGCGATAAGACAAAGACAAAAAAAGTGCATTTTCTATTGTGTTTTCTTTGCTGACAGCATGCAACAGAAAACTCAATTCAATTTATGTTTATGTTTCAAACCAAATTATGTTTATATAACAGTGTATATTTCAAAGGAGTTTTGTTATAAATGTTGTTTAAAGTAATTCTGAAAAAAAAAAAGTTTTTGTTTAGAAAAACTGAGTTCAGTAACTGATTTACAGGCATAAAATCTCTCTTAAAGGGATACTTCACCCTAAAATAAAAGTTCTGTCATAATTTTCTCACCTTGTATGCCTTTTGGTCTGCTGTGGAACACAAGGAAAGATATTTTGAGTTTTTTTCATTTTAGTGGAAGTTCTCCATAAATATTTGGAGCAACAATATGGTTAGTAAATAGTGGCATAATTAAAATTTTTGGGTGAACTGTCCCTTTAAGGAAGCGTTAATGCCAACTGGCAAATTTGTGTTTAACCTCCATAATTAGATGTATTTTAAATTCAGCAGGAAATTATGTAGGGCGAAACAACATAATTTTGTCCAACAGAATTTTATTTGATTAGGTTATTATTATGTCTTCAGAAAATAAAAGTAGTTGTAGGTGGAGAATGTGCTATATTTCAAAGAATTCTGAAAATGAATTTGTATCTATGAGTAGCTTGCAGTGAAGAGCATACAAGACATTTAGGCTACGTTTACACGACAACGATGTAGTCAAAACGGAAAAGTTACATGACAATGTTTTCAAAACGATTTGCGTTTACACATCCACGAAAACGGCCAAAAACGCTGTATTACTTATGCCAGGCCAGTAGTTGGCGCTGTCATCTTGTTAGTAAACAGTACCTGTTTCCGTGTGTATATGATGCGTCTCTGCTGTTGGTTGTAATATTGGTGAAGTAAATCCACACTTTGCTGAAGAAGCGTTAGCAAACTCTTGAGCAGCAACAACAGTACCATGTACTCCGCCATTGTTGTCTGTTTGTTCGCACTTGCCTTTAAAATTGACACGTACTACGCATGTCTACATACCTAACACGTACCGTTTTCGAAGATTCCCGTTTTGGGTGTTTACATGGAAACGACAACGGTGGCGTTTTCAAAAACTTGCACTTTAAAACCTGTTTTTAAAAAATATGCGTTTTCAGTCCCCAAAACGCCGTTGTCGTGTAAACGAACAGGTAAAACGCATAAAAAATTTCCCGTTTTTGGCTGAAAAAGTTGTCGTGTAAACGGCCCCTTAAAAAGCAAGTAAATGGGGTTGATATTTACTTTAAAAGTCCCGATACTCTCTAGAAACAAGTACAAAACTCAAGGCTGTGCTTAAATCCATGTGGTTTCAAGAAAGTCTTTAAAGGGGTCATATGATGCTGCTAAAAATAACATTATTTTGTGTATTTGGTGTAATGAAATGTGTTTATGCGGTTTAAAGTTAAAAAAACACATTATTTTCCACATACTGTACATTATTGTTTCTCCTCTATGCCCCGCCTTTTTGAAACGCGTCGATTTTTACAAAACTCATCGGTCTGAAAAAGCGAGGTATGCTGTGATTGGCCAGCTATTCAGTGCGTTGTGATTGGCCAAATACCTCAAGCGTGAGACGGAAATCTTACGCCCCTCACCATACTGTG